GGTGGGGAGGGGCCTGCGCCTGGCACGCCCTCGGTGGGGAGGGGCCTGCGCCTGGCACGCCCACAGCAAGCATTTTTCCTTCCGCAGAGTTGTGGTTGGTCACATTTCAGAAAACACACCTGGGTGAGGGTAGTACTGATACAGGAATGCAGCCCTGGTCCTGTAGGAACACTATATCTCTCTCCCAGCATCCTACTGGGGAGGGGGATACAGTATATGAGACAAGTGCACGGTGAGAATGTTACCCATTACAAATCCCATCTGACCTTTCTAAAGGCGGAAGTACATTTGCAGATCTGCCCTGTATTGAACGGTGAAACGGGTGAGCCTGTGACTGAGACACCCAGCTGGAGCAGTAACCAGCAGCAGCTCTGTGTCCCAGCTACACCGGCGCCTAGTGCAGTACAGTACAGCGCCTTGTTCAGCCGTGACTCTGCCGTCTCTCAGGGGCAGGATCAGCTACTTCACCCACCCGCCCGAGACCCACACGCTGCCCACGCACGTCAGCGCGGAGATCGTGGCCGAGATGGGCAAGGCGTTCGACTGGGAGGAGCTGGAGAGGGGGAACCAGGAGGCGCTGGCTGGTAAGGCGGCGCTCTTGCAGCAGAGGTCACTTCCTGTGTGATCAAAGCGCAATGCAAGATGACGACGAAAAAGACCTTCTCCGGGCAGGTGGAGGAAAAATGAGGTCAGCACAGTGGCCCGGGGGTTGCCTGGGCCTGCTTCTCAGACCGGGGTCCTGTCAGTGTGGAGTTTGCATGTTGTCCGTGTGAGTGTTCTCCAGCTGCTCTAGTTTCCTCTCGGCTTCACGCACTGGCGGGATCGGTTAGCGTTCGCGCTCGCGTGTGCCGGTGTGTGTGTGCTGGCTGTAGTCCCGGCCTGGACTCTGTGCTCCTGGCCAGTCTCTGTCTTAAAGGGCCTCTAAGGCAGAGACTGAGTCTCCGCGGGCCTCCCCAGTGAGATGCAGCTTTCTGAGGACGGCAGGAGAGAAGTCGAGCAGAGCTCACTTGCTCCTGTCTGGTTCCCTTCGGCTTCTCCTTTTCCAGAGGTGACCGGCCCCGCCGAGCACGCTGGCTTCTGCATCGCGACCTCGGGCATGACCCCGGGGGAGCAGGGGGAGCCCCCGGCTGAGCAGGACATGGACGACGCGTCGCGGGAAGAGCCCGA